TTGGGGAAAGGTGCTGATCTTGCTTTGAGAACAGAAGAGCATCCCCTACAACACCCCAAGCTGGAGGGTAAACCCGGAGCAAAATGGCAAATATTCCTGTTACCACCAAGCCCATAATTCCCAGGAATGTTTAATTCAGCCAGGCAAAGTTCTGTAACCAGGAGGTAAGCCATGAGAAATCATAGAAGCCCTGACTGTAGCCAATGTTGTCAACCAAAGTTTTGAAATCCTTTTTTTTTCCCTGTATCAATTTGGTATTGTCAACCAAATTAAAACAGCACATGTCTTCAGGAAGGAGAAGGAAAGTTGAATGCAGGGCAGTCCACCCCTATGGTGTCTTTGGGGTTCTCTGAGATTGGTTGTTTTTTTGGAAACATTTCTTGCTAGCACTGAAGATGTAACCTAGCCAGGCAACGAAACGTTTGCAAGAAGATGACCAAGCTCAGAGAGCCCCAAGGACTCCACAGTTCGACCCTGAGCCACAGATATTCTCTTCTATTGGTCAGTTCACCCCTGCGAGCTCTCTTACGATCAGCGCGCCCAGCCCTCCGCAGGATGCCCTAATTTTCACTTGAGGGGCTTTACCTGCCCATCGTATGTACCGTAGACATGTGGTCTATGAAGAATAAAAGCCTATGCAGAGTTTTTTTTTTCTGGCAGAGCAGAATACTTTGCCTGCTTTCAAATGCCCAGTGCCTCTCTTCACCCACACCTTTGCTCCTGTGGCCCTGAATTGTCTTTCCCCCTTTCCTTTCCTCTGGGCAGGGGGTTCCCTTTGTCACAGGTGGGGAGGGGATGTTGTGCAGGATCAGTTGCGCCGCTCTCTCTCCTGCTGTGCGGCTCCCTTCAGGTCTTTCTGGGCCTAGCTGGAGAAGCATTCCTTGGTGCCCAGGGTCTATTGCATCCCCCCCCCCATTACATCTATGCCCAGTAGCACCAAGTTAGTTATTTTTTATTTACATTGATGTTGCTGGGCACTCTCAGTTTTGCTCCTGAAGCTTCCTTGGTTACAAGTAGCAGCAGGAAAGCAGCAAGGTCCGACGTCCACAGATAGAGCATGCACACCTTCTCTCCTGGGGGAGGTTTTGTTATTGGGCAAGACTAGGTTGGGGTCAACAAAGCATTGATGGAGCTTCAGGATGGCTTGGTCCAATAGTGGTCTCCTCCCCTTCA